GTTTTTATAAAACTTTTTATTATCATATCGTATTGCACACATGGTTAGTTAAAGTGTAGCGAAGTTTTCAGAATTTATGAAAATAAAGAACAGTTAATTAGTGAGATACTGTTACCAATCTTATATTAAAAATATCTGACACGTCAGCCGTGCTTCAGTCCCAGTGAAGCGTTATGCTTACATCATTGAATCATTATATTGTGAATTTTGGGCACATCCAAAACTCTTTTGCCGAAGATTTTTCGATGTATTAAAACTACTCTTAAAAGTTGTGTTGCGTCTGTACTTTCTGTCCAAAAATAACATCTTCTAAATTTTAATACGATGGGCTATGGACCTCATTACTACTTATTTCTTTATATAGCAGGTTGCTCACATCAATGCAGACTACCGCTTCTAGCCACATTTCATCCGATAAACAGACGCTTAAGTTGTGAAATGCGCGCTTGGATTCTGTATTCACGTTAAAACTTATCAGATTGTAGGGTCTATATATATATAGAATATAATATTACTGCCACTAGTGCTGTTAGGATCATTTCAGTAACTAAAAATTATTGCTCTCACTGCTCAATTATGGAGAACAATTAAATAATTAATTGTCTAAAGGTTGACTTTAACTCATAAAAGAAGATACCTTTGACTATCCCGCTTAGAAAACGTTACTATGTAGTACTTACATAGTTATACCGCTAAGAATGTTCTTAGCACTATTATACTTACTGACTCCCATTACCATGACAAGGTAGCTCACCTGGAGGTACATAAGATTACTCATTTAAGAATTGGATTGAATTTATAACAAAAAGTGGAAAAACCAGAGGAAGACCAAAAAAATTTGAATTCTATAAATACGTACTAATATAATTATAGATTTTTGAAAAGGTATTTCTCAAGGAATATATTAGGTACTGTGTATTACAAATCTCATAATAATCCTTTTCAAATGTTGTGGTGTTATTCTAAAAACTTTAGAATAAAGGTTTTTCTTAAATTAAGGAAAATATCTAGTAATAGTTAAAACAGTTGGCTACGATCTCCAAAATCCGTAACCAAAATGTCATTCATAAGCCTAAGTTGTTATTTTCTTATTTGTTATTTTTTATTTATTTTGATTTGTTTATGTTTTTGTTTATTTTTCAATAGCGTGTTTTGAAGATTCAGATACGTCCACTATTTGCATATTTACTTAAGTGTTTAATTCAAATTATAAAAATAAACTAAAAACATATTATTAACAGACGTAGTAAGAGAAGTTCTGAGAAAATACTTTAGATTGAATTTCAATAAATTTTAACTTTGTACTTAAGTAAACACATTTTGTTTATTAATATATAGAATTTTATCAACTATGAATAGTCTTTCTATCAGCAAAAGATAGACCCAAATTTAGAGTATATCTACTCGTTTATTGATATAAATATTAAAGTAATTAATTGAGATTTATTAATTCCGATTAAAAAAAAGTACAATTGATATATTGTGATTCATATATAAACAATATTATCGCATGATATACATATCTACATAATGTTCTACTTATAAATACAATTTGAGTACCTAGAAGATGACAGTTGAAGTCCCTCTCTAGTTGTGTTTGCCAATTATATATATATTTACAGTATTATATATATTTTAAATAGTCATTCTTCTTTTAAATTAATTATAACTGGTTATTGATTATAGGTACTCTTCCCAGTCAATAGATTATCTTAAAGGACCATTACTTTTGAATTCCTCTTGAAAAATTGACAATATCCAATAAATTGACCATCCATCAAATTCTGTTAGTACGAAATACCCATCAATATTGAAGTTTATTTGGAAATATTTGGGTTTAATTACCCGTATATAATTGAATAAAAATTAATTTGAATTAAGTGGAATTCATGAACGAAATGACCGCATTATTTTTTTAAGTGGCTGATATTTAACAAGGGAATTGACAGTAAATTAACAATTTATTTATTTTGATGATGAATAATTGATACGTTTCCGAATAACTATTCATCAATTTGGGTTTCTGCATAATATTTATATCATTTTTGTTTTTATTATTAGAATATTACCAAATAAACACTCAAATACTGTGAGCTATAAAATGAATTGTGCTACATATAGGTAACTTTTGTATATATAACTCGTAAAAAGCTTAAAACTACTACTGTTGAACCTTTTGTAGCTTGAGTTTACGCCTGAGAAGCTGATATATGACTTAATCCTACACTGCATGCGTACGATCCATTAGGTCTATTTATCTATTGTGATACTGTAAAAGAACTCAACGGTTTAAAAAGCACCTTAAACCTTTGGTAAAGCCCAAAATGATATTCCAAAATATTCAAAAAAGACACAATCATCGTCCGCGATTGTGTGAGTGTCACATCTTCACTTAAACTGAAGTTCTTCCCATGAAGTATCTTTCTAATGTCTCTAATGACATTTTGCTTAATGCTAGCAGTCTCTGGGGACCAGATCTGAAGAAAAAGGTTGGTGAGAAAATTATTATCAAGCGTAATGAAATGTATTTATTTTTATAGCTTTATGACTAATTGATTTTGGTTCTGAGTGGACAAATGTGATACCTACTTCAAACACAGACCCCGCATGCTCAGACTCTACTTCCCAATACCTTTAAGGTGTCAGCTATCTCACACAATGTCACTTCAGTCTTATAAAACTATTTTGTGGATTTTTTTTTCTTTTCTAGAGCAATTTCGGGTGACTATTATCGGTTCCTGGACGATGTTTAAATTGAGCACATCAGTCAATAATTGTAAATTTTTTTGGTAATTAACAAAAAGTATCTATATGAAGTTAATATTTGTTTATTTTTTATTTAATTATTAATATTTCTTTGCACCTGAGCTGTATTTAATGAATTACTCTACGTGTGAGGTATTTATAAACCCCGCGTTTGTGTAATAGCCTTACCAACTACCACTTACCACCCCTACCCTATATCAAGCCCATGCTTTATGGTTTAGTTAAGTCTGGAATTATAAGTACTAAACCTCTTTATTTTAACTTTCTTCCCAAATTACTGCTCTGAAGTTTTTGTGATGGAAATCTTCTCCATTCTTTTCTAAGAGTTGGTTTTAGTGGGTTAAAGTCTCACACTGTGTTTGTCGATACTTTCCAACTACCACAAAAAAAGTAGTATGTGTAATATCATACTAGAATGTAATTTTTTTCAATAATTAATATCTAAAAATTTTAATTAACAGCTTTAATTAAAATAAATTTCTTTTATGCACATTTTTTAAGATTTAATATTTAAAAGTGTTAATTAACAGCTTTAATTAAAATAAATTCCTTGTATGTACTTTTTTTTCAATAATTAATATTTGAAAGTGCTAATTAATAACTTTAATTAAAATAAGTTCCTTTTTAATTAAATTTGTGAAAGAAGTGGTTTTTTTTTAAATTTCGTTGTAAATTTTTTTATTTGCAGTTAATTATTTTTAATTATTTTTTATTTTCATTTTTATTATTATTATTATTATCATTATTTAGTGTTATTAAATTCTTTTATTTGCAGTTAATTATTTTTAATTACTTTTTATTATTATTCTTATATACATATATATTATTTATATTAATTATATTTTTATTTTTTAATTATTTATTATTTATCATTATATTAATAATGATTGTATGGATATTTTATTATTAAGTTATTTTCCGAGCGCCCTTTGTGATGAAAAATAATTTCTTAAAATTAATTGAAAATTCTCGATTAAATAAAAGACTGGTTATTTATTTTTATATATTTAGTTTTATTTTTAAGTTCATTTAAATATTTTATTTTTAAGTAATTTTATGATAAATAAAGATCAAGAATACTGTAAGTGTTTAACAAAAATATGTAAATATTTAAGTAACTTTTCATTTTTGAGAATAACAAAATAAGAACAAAAAACTGAATACATCTTAAAGTGTGCGTATCTTGCATTAATATTGCTTTTCCTTATTTCATTAAACATATTTATAAATGTAGATATATGTGTGTTTGTTTGTTGTATATCTTAATATAACTGTTAAAAACAGATGTTGTATCATATTTGTAAATAAATATTCATTGATATTTAATACATAAATCGATACTTTTTGTTTTGTTTGATATTCTTACAGCACAATTCATAAAATACTTTTTGCTTAATTTTAAATTAATTAATTTCTCATTTGTAAGATTAATTTTATTCTCATTTTCATTAATTAAGAGTGTCACTCAATGTGAGCGAATAAATATAATTTTGATATAATTTTTTTTCGTTTTTTAAATATAATTATTTTTGATTCTAATAATACATTTTAATTAATATATCTATATACACATATAGATGTATATATAAATTAAACTAAACTTAGTAGGATCAGCTGCAATTTTGTCTTTTGTTTTTAAAATGATTTTAGTTATACATTTAAGTGTTTTTTCTTCCGCTTTTTACAGTCATTGTTTTTATTTAAATTTATTTTTATTTTTATTTTTATTTTTATTTTTTTCAAATCACGCAAATCCATTGCAAATCCTTACAAGTTTGTCGAAGTGAAACTTTGCTTTTCCTCTTGAGTCATCATCAAGAGTACGCAACCTCACTTTTACATTTCATACATATTTAATTTTTGTTATTTTTTTTTATTAATTTACTTTCTTTAACTATTAAATTTTATACTCAGTCTTCATGAAGCAAATGTGACATATATTTTCTTAAAATTACAATTTTATTACTGTCTTTTTGCTTTTTAGTTAATTTTTTTTCTTAATTACTTCACATAATTTTCTTCATGATTTTTTTTGTGTTTGTTTGTAGTTCCTCTTCATTTAATTTTTTCCTGTTTTCTTTCTTAATTTTTGACTCTTACCAAAGCTACGTTTAGGTGACAAACTAAAGCTAAGTCTAATGTAATTTAGTGTCTTAATTCAGTTGATTAAGTGTTTAGTGCTTTAACGTAAATTTCCCAATTTTAATTTGTTTATATGTAAATTTAATTTAAAATTAATAAACGTAAATGGTCTTCAACTGTGGCTTCAGCTCAGGTGGTATGACGGTGACTGGTTCCGGTTTTTTCGCAACCAAGCGCTTGAAGCGCCCACTGAATTGTTTGCGGAATCCCTTAAAGCCGTTTTTATCGTTAGTGGCTAACAACGCTTCCTGCAAATAGAAAAAGAAAACACTTCATTAATATACATATTTATATTCTCAATAGTTATATAAACTGATAAAATAAACTATACTACAACAGAACTAACAATAATAAATAACAAATAATAAAAATAAAGCAAAGAAACCTAGTGTATGGTATTTGCATAAAGTACAGTGTTCTCGTACTCGTAAGTGTTTACTTTAAAACTCGTAGTAGCTAAATTTGAAACAAAGCAGCACTGAATGCGATTAAAATAGTTGCACATGTGTACGGCTCGACACGTTAATTAATGTTCGCACTCGCAATGGGTGTTTCGCTTTGGTTTATTTTTAGTTATATATACATTATATGAATATGTATATTTATTTATATTCATATATTGTATATAAATATAACAAAGTGAAGCGTAATTTGCCCATTGCAACTCAGCAATTGCCAATAAACAAAGACTTCTGAAACTCTTAGTGTGAACAGCTAAGTACCATATACTTGTAATCATAAGTTAGAACAGTAACCGGTTATTCGTTGCGTATTCATTAAACACTAAAATATTGTACAAAAACAAAGCTTGCCAAATGCATGATTAAGCAACGGGCTTTGATAAGTGTACTTGGACTATATATGTATAATTGGACTACAGTGAAAATCGTCGCTAGTGATTGTTGTTCACACAGCTAACAAATGCAAAGTGTAAACGCAATAACATCCTAATCATCACGAAGTTTCATCAGCTTAAGTTTTGCGGATATCTTAAAATTTTTGTATATTTTTATACGAGTATGTAGGCTAAATTTAGTTACTCGATGTGGTTACGGAACATGATAAGTGTTGAACATAAGAGTGTTACGACAAGTGTTCACACTTGTAAAGAAAACTTTGTGCTTATCACAATATTATATCGAAACGTATAATCCATGGTATAACAGAAATGAAAATATACACAAAGACTTGAGATTTGATAGTATGCAAAAGTACTAATTGTCCACAGATTCCAAAGTAAAATTGTTGGAATCTGTGGATGCTCACACTAATTTAGAATTGTACTCTCTTAAATTAAATAAACTAACTATATAGTCCAGGAAGATATGTTGAGCTTAGATTATACTTCTAAAAAATAAAGTGATAATAATAAAGTGATTTCTAAGATGAGATAAATATTGAGTTATATTTTATTATAATTCTATGGAACACTTGTTACAGTGAATCATCCAAGTTATTGCAGACACTATTGAGTAAAAGTACTTTAGTTACTAACTCGCGTTTCAACAAACAAGGAAAAGGACTTGTAGGGAGTAATTTGATAAAGAAACTACATGGTAGTCATGTAATAATAGTTGTCATATATAGACTTATCTACTTCTTCTTTATTTGCCAATTCGATTTCGAATATTGGTGATCATATAACATAATATTATTTTGTTTAATTAGTTTTTTTATTTAATATTATATATTATTTATTCAAGAAAATTAATACAGCATTTACAAAAATTATACATATATAAGGTAGACAAAATACATAATACTCGCATAAACATAGTCTTCATAGAATCTATGTGTAGACCTAGCTTTAAGGGTTATAGAAATATTTCAATATTTTGTGTTTATAAAATTTTAATTATTAAATTTAAAAAAAAATGTACTAATCATTAAATACGACCTATGAATTAATATTAATTTTGGTTATTCAAAAGTGAAAAAAAAGTACTCGATTTATGGCATCAAATCCATTTTCTATGTAATTAGTGATGTAACTAATGAAGTTGAGCTTGGGTGTAATCAATTACAATGAAACTAATTACATAAAGATTATCATGTTTTGTTTACATTATAACTAAATTCAATGAATAATTATTCTATAAATATCAAACTACCACCTTGAATAATATATTTTTTTTTGTCACTGTGTTCGCTGGTAATCATCATAACTATATATTAAGTACTTACATACGTACATACATTTGTATAACTTGTGTTCGTAATTTTAAGACTCATATGTCGAATTAATCGATTTAACTTACTCATTTCCATTAACTGGAAAACGTAAATTATAATTGAGTTGAAAATTAAATTGCATCGCACACAAGTACGTAACTCGTAACTCGTAATTCGTAACGTATACTTAATAAATTAACAACACAAGCGTCTGTCTATAAGTTTATTTATTTAATTGTCGACACATTAAATTAATACCCAACAAAAATTCTCAATGAAATTCCCCCAACGCTCTACCCATAGAACCCACCTCAGATCCCTCTTCCAGTACCATAAGTGGCGGCATATGCTTATCAGTCACTTTGGCCTATTGGTCACTCTGGCAAAGCAATGTGTCGGTTTACATCTCACCCCACCCCACATCCCACCCAACTGTGTGCTTAATTTCTATGGTATCAATATGATATGATACATACATACATATGTATGATGAGTTTTGAGTCAGTATCTTTTTATTGTTAGTGTTTTTGTTTTTGTTTTTGGTAGACCCGCTATAGTAAAGTTGAACACAGTCAGAATTTCCATAAACGAAAAATCAAACAATCTTAAATGATTTCCGCTGTGTTTCAGTTTTTTAAACTGGATTTTAGTTTAGGTTTTTTTTTATTTTTTTGTTTTTGGTTTTTATGGGTAATTTTTTCAGTTACAAGTAAAGAGTGACTAACGCTGTCACTGTGACTGAGAAGTAGCAATTGGATTTTTACGTTTATGCAAATTTTTTTTTATTTTTTTTTCACCGCAGACTGAAATCTCGTTTCATAAATTTTGGCGTTAACGGCTTTTGTGTGAATTCCTCGTATTGAGGTTGACTGATTAACTTGAAAATCAATGGATTTAGCAAGAACCACTGTGTGGTGGTATGTTCAGTGCGCGTCGCCTTCGCTTATTAACTTGCTAATTGTGATTTTTCCCCCATTGCCCCGGCTGAACAACTGCTATCATGTGTGGAGTCTTGCCTTATAAGTGATTTCATGCGAATTTTGGTTGATAACTAAAATTTTGTTCAACATTTCAAGAGATATTAAAATGATTTTGTTTAAATTAAAATTTAAGTTCAATTGTATGTGTTTTGTGTTTGCTTAATTTTTGATATGTTTGTTTGTTCATTTATTT